GATTTCAGCTGCTGAACAGTTGGGGTCTCCTTTGTCATATTTTTCGTTTCATAATGCGGTAAATATTTTCAGTGAAGACAGGTCTGGACTGCAGACAGGTCAGTTTAGCACCTGGACTGTTTTGCACTAGTGCATCCCCCATACCATTATGGGTGCACTGATAACAAGCTGGATGGCAGGGACTGAACTATTTGGAAAAAATATCTACTTGCAATTTTTTTGATTGCTATTGCAACTTCGATTTAAATTGCGACTATTTTCTGTAAATTGACGTTCAGGCCTGTTATTTTGGCCAAGAAAACCAGAACATCCACTTTTTCAGGCTTGAGACTTGAACACTGAATATGCCAGACTGCGAGTTAGTTGTGGTTGTGATGTCACAGCATATGCTTTTTTGGTTGCTTTGGATCAGTCTCACTCATCTACAGGCAGTTTACAAGCTCTGATATTAGGTAAACGTCTCTCTGGGATATATATATATATATATATATATATATATATATATATATTCCGAGAACAGCGATATATATATATATATCGCCGTTGTCGGAAGAAAACCTCGTATCTTCAGAATAATAACTTTACAGGAAAAGGAAAAAACACACTTTACTTTTAATGTAAGTCAATGCAATCAGACTTTTTTCCAAGTAATTTTGGGCCATTTCTTTTGGTCCACTGGGGCAGTTTTTACATTATGTGAAAAACTGAAAAATGACAAAAATGGAGATACAAAGTTTTCTTCCAACAACAGCGATGCTCATTTAATGTGTAATAAACTATTGCAAAACAAAACCTTTAAACTGTCCAAACTGAAGCCCTAAAGAAAGTATCAGGATGGCCCTTTAAATGTTAGAGCCCTGACCAACAAGACTTTTATTTTATGTTTAATGACAAAAACATGTCTTGACTCAAATGGAGCTGCCTCCCTTATTGGAACTGTCCTACAGAACTGCAACTTCTACCATACTGTATGTGAAGGTGAGGAAGAGGATTAGCAGCTGTTTTTAATGACTTTTATCACTGCAAAAAACATATCCTTAGTATCATCCCATCTTTCAAATATTTAGCTGTTCTATTAAAGGGTAAAAACACTACATTTGTACCAGCATGTGGGTGAAATCCTACATGTTGCAGTCAAATAAAATACAAATAAAAGAGCTAAAGTCTAAACATAGCAGTGCATGAAAAGATATATTTAACTCAAAGATAAGATTGATTCTATATATAATTGCACTAGAAATGGAAAACAGGGAAAAATAGCATGGAAAACTGAGCAGCTGCAAACATGGCTGAAAGAGTCAACATACACTCAGAAAAAAAGTTACATTGACACTAATAATAATACAGTGCAAAAGCAGAGGGAATTGCATTTTTCAAAGATAATAAATGAAAATGGTAACAACCCAAAAACGTTTATTTTCAACCATTTAAAATCTCAGTCCAGTGAATGACTGGTTATGTGAAGTCTCTACATCAAAATGTGAATCTTTTGCACTATTTTTAAATGATAAAATCACTGATATCCAATCAAGACCTGAAGTTCTGACATTTTTTCAATCACAATCCACTTATATTTTAGATTCAATCCTAACTTCACTAAAAAAAATAGACAACCTTATTTTTAGTGTTTTAGACCTTATAAACTGTTCCTTATATTTTATTATAAAACTATTATAAACTGCTCTCAAGGTTTCTGTTGTCAGGCCCTGCTAAAGAAACACAATCTAAATTTATCAGTTTAAAGTAATTTTAGAATTAATTCATTAAGTAAAATACTAGAAAAAGTCATATTTGCACAAATAAATGAGTTCATAAATGAAAATGATGAAAAATTTCAGTCACAGTCACAGGTTTCAGATCAGGTCATAGTGCTGAAACAGCATTGCTAAAGATAGTTAACAATCTCAGAGTTGACGCTGATAAAAATAGGGTCTCTGTCCTTGTACCTTTGATTTAGCAGCTGATACAGTAGACCGTGCTATTTTTATGAACCACCTGGAAAATTGGGTAGGCCTTCTGGAAACTGTGTTAAAGTTTTTTCATACATATCTTCTAATTACTTTTTTAGTCTAGCTGAGCAGCTCACTAGTGAATATGACATACTTTATGGTGTTCCACCAGGTTTTGTATTGGGCCCGCTTCTTTTCTCTCTATACATGTTTTCATTAGGTCACATTATTAAAAAGCATTATTAATTTCACAACCACAGCATTATTTCATTTAAGAAGTATAATACAAGTTAGACCCTTTCTCAAACTGCAAGACGCCGAGAAGATGATCCATGCTTTTGTTTTTTCACAACTAGACTACTGTAATGTGTTATTCTATGGGTTACCTAAAACCAGAACTGACAGGCTACAACTTGTTTAGAACTAGGCAGCTAGAGTACTAACTCATACAAAAAAGAGAGGACACCTGTTTTAGCTTCATTACACTGGCTGCCTGTCTCATTTAGAATTGATTTTAAAAGTCTTTTACGGGTCTATAAAGCTTTTCGTGGATTAGCACCTACATACATCTAAATGCCTGACAGAACATGTTCCAAATCATGCTTTAAGATCATCAAATGCTGCTTTATTGAATGTTCCCAGGATGAAGCACAGAAAGACTGATGAAGCAGCACTCTGCTTTTACACACCAGAGGTCTGCAGCTCTTTACTAATTAATATTTGTTCTTATTAATTAATATTAATATGTTACTGAAGCCTTTGTTACTAATGTTACTAAAGTAGCTTAAAACGTTTAGATTTAATTCAGCATTTTGTTAGGTTTGTGTTCCATTCTGTTCCTGTTGTTCTTTCAAATCCTATTTTATTCATTCTATTGATCTTTTTTTCATTCTCATTCTATATTTTTTTTTCTCTTTTTTATAATGTAATGCTTAAGACAGGGTTTCTCAACCTGTGGGCCGTGGACCACCAGTGGGCCGTGAAGCACCCTCTACTGGTCCGCAGGCCTGTTCTCAGAGGGAGGCAGTAGTTTGTAGTGGGCCGGTAAAGACATATAAATAAAAACATTGCAGTCGCAGGCTGATTAATGTCAACGGCAGCCGCTGGTACGCAGTGCAGAGTTAGCCAGAGATGGAGAGGTTTCTCAGGGTGCTTTCTCCTGCCTTGTTCTGTGGAGATCTATCAAACTTTATTCTTTTGTTACTCCACCCATATTTGTCCCAATTCAGAGGTTTTCAGTGTGAGTTATTAAGAAAAAACTTTTTTTCTAAAGTTGATTTTAGTTTTTCTGTGGGCCGCTATGCTTTATAGTTATAAACAGGTGGGCCTTGGGGTGGAGAAGGTTGAGAACCCCTGGTTTAAGGTGCTTTGAGTGGTCCTTTTTACATGAAGTAAACACTCAACAGACTTTCAGTAACGTATTGTGGCATGCGCCCGCCCCCCGGGCCCCGACGATGACGGCCGCGAGAGTCGGCAGAACCCGGGGGGCGGGCGCATGCCACACGTATCAACAACATATAAATGATGTAGCAGCAGTGAATTCATTCAGTAGATTATCAAGAGTTTTTTATTGAGCTGTAAAATAAAATTAGATTCTGCTGAATTAAGTTGTTTTTCACTTTATTTGAGGGTCCAAATTCAAATCTGTAGATGTTTAACCTGGGAGATCACTGAACGTGTAACAGGTTTAACAGAGACCATCAACATCCTCAACAAGCTGTTATAGACATACTGCTGACACCATTCTGTACCTGGACTTTAATTGGATCAGGTTTTGGGTTGAGGTTAAGGTCAGGGTTTTTTTTTACAGATTCTATCGATTGCCCTTTAAGCAGCTCTTGTTAAAGTGTTTCTTAGTAAGTTTTATAGTCCTCTTGGTGTGAGAGTTAAGATTACCTGTCCATAAGCATTGTAGATCGCTGTACGAGATGCAAGATTTATTGTGCAAGAACACTGAAGACAGAATGTTTAGGACGAAATATGCAAAATAACCAACACAAGTGAGATTGAAAATACAGAATCTGAAGAGGCGGCTGGTGTAGAAACGTTTTCGTGGATGGCTTTTGCTTTCTAAGGCTATTTTTGTGGAGGCTTACAAGCTGAAAGATGTATGACTAACTGAACCTGCTTACTCACAATTTTGTGTTTTCATATCAAATTTCTTAAACTTTTACCTTTTTGTTAGGAAAGCTAGAAAGGTTGCCCACTATATTGGAGCAAAAGCTTACATGAATGGAATTCAAATCCTGCTGAACCAGAGCAGTGTGGAGCATTAACGTGGTGCATGATCCTTGGTCGTTCCATCTGAAGATGCAAGAAGTCCTGGGGAGATTCTGGATGACCAGTTTTCACTCTCAGCTCATATTGCAAACCTGACTCGGTCACACAGGTTTCTCCTGTACAACATCCAGAGTATTTGACCCTTTTACTCTCCAGAGGCCACCCACTTTCTAGTTCACTCTCTTATCATCTCAAGACTTGACTACTGCAACTCGCGCTTGGCTGGTCTTCCTATGCAGGCCATCAAGCCCCTGTAACTCATTCAGAATGCAGCAGCATGGCTTGTCTTCAGTCTTCGTAAGTTTACTCATGTCACTGCTGCGCTCCCTTCACTGGCTTCCTGTAGCTGCCCGTATCAGATTTAAAAACCCTGTTGCCTACAAAGCCAAAAACAGACCAGCCCCTCTCTACCTAATGGCGATGGTCAAAACTCGAACTGTACCTTGAGCCCTCCGAGCTTCAATTACAGCTCAATTACTAACTACTTATCCTTTTGTTCTTTAATTCAAAATAAAAGTCCTAGTTTTTACAGCCTGTTTTGCTCATGTTTACCAGTGGTCCCAACATTTGTAGAAGACACTGTATACATTGGTTTTTACAGTACATAAAAATTCTATTACAAAGCTAGGACTGTACAACTTTGAGTCCTGTGGCTGAGAAACCAGTTCTAGAAAGAATGATCTGTGTGACATCACTGTCCAACAAGGTGCTTGGTAAATGCATGAAATCAAGTCAACCAATAAGCAGCATACACATCTAGCATAAGCAACTGCTGAGAAAGCAGCACCTGCTTACTCATGGTACCCAGGTATATAAACCTGTGAAGAAGGAGCCACTTTACACAAAAGTCATTAACTCAGTAGAGAAGGACTCAAAGCAGCATCATGGGTGAGTTATAGTAGCTCAGTGCTACTACAATTTACTCAAAATTTACTCATAGGTCATGAAGAGAAACACAGCTGAAGAAGTTATTTTTGATGTTCTGTGTACGTGAATCATTCTGTCTATGGCATTATATATATAAACTATTTACTTTCTTATCTGTAGGACTTCAGGTGATCTTTTCCACAGCATTACTGGCATGCATTTTTGGAGATGTCACGAAGATTGAAACCACTGGAGCATCCTGGATGACAGCTAGCCAAGACAACCTGAACGTGAATGGTAAGGGCCTGCCCTGCTTTGTCAAGGCTAAACTCTTGAAACCAGTATTTATTGTAACTGCGTCTTTGTTAAAGGGGTGGAAGCCTCATACAAGTTGGCTGAGACTGATCTAAGAAGAATGGACCAGTACAAGAGCATCATCACCAAAGTAGGGAATGCTAAACAGATGGACCCAGCAGTGATCGCAGGCATCATATCCAGAGAGTCGAGGGCTGGAGCTGTTCTTGTGAACGGCTGGGGTGACAACGGCAATGGCTTTGGGCTCATGCAGGTTAGTTTAAAGCACATACGTCAGTAAAATGGCTGCTGATGAAAACAGCTGCTCTTTGTACTTTCTTCTGTGGTCGTGTGACTTCCAGTCTCAGGTGGCATTAAGCCTGTGTTGGCACAGTGGAGAAAACAGTAAACAGCATAGAAATATGCTAGGACTGGGCAAAATAACTATATTTATGTTTATCGTGATAAATTACTTTTCTTAGTGTATCATGGAAATCATCAGTAATTAAAAACTCCATGTCAGATTATAAAGAGAGCACAGTTAGTCCTCTTTAGTGTAACAGAGTATGTGAATGTGGAATGCAAATCAGAGTCATAGATTTTGATAGTATTTTTTCAGGGTGGCACTACTTTGTCTGTTCAACTTATCAGATGTCAGAAAAAAAGTAATGTGTCATGTTTTTGACAATTATTTGAAATATCGTCACATTTTAGTAAAATCTCCCAACTCTAAAATATATAACTAAATAAGCTTAATTACATTTTTGAAAAATTAATTAATAATAAATTTACATTTAATGAATACTCCAGTGCAATCATATTTTATAGTATATTATAGTGTATTTTTAATATTAATGTAAATAGGGTATTTTAATATAAATGTAAAATATTGAGAATAGTATATATATTTTTAAGCATGTTTCTAAAGTAAATTGAACATGGAACATCTGGTTTCAGTTTTAAACTGTAAGCATAAATCAGTTGAACTTATCCTACTAAGTCCTCTAGTTACTGTGTGACTTTATTTTTATGTATCCAACAACATTTTTTGCATAAAAGCTATTTATCTATTAGTCATTTACCTTTTAGCTTGATTGCTAATATTCTAGCTGTATAGCTTTTCTGCATTCCTCTGCATGATGTTTTATATATCCAAAGGTTTGTAGACACCTGCTCATCCAACATTTCTACCAAAATCAAGAGAGGGGCAGTAAACAAAATAGTAAACAGTAACCAAACAATACAACAGCGAATACCAGAACACAAGGCTGAGAAACTCAACGATGCCAGTGACTTGTATAATATACACCACACGTGTCAGGCTCCAGTCCTCGCAGGCCAAAACACTGTAGACTTCAGCACACTGCCTCATTAAACACACCTGATCATTCAGCTCATCAGCTAATTAGCAAGGCCTGAACTGAATCCAGCGTGATAGATGAGGGTAAACGCTGATCTCCACAGCACTTTGGCCCGGAAAGTCTCCAGCTTGTCACGTCTGATATACATCTGTCCCAAACATTGTAGACACCCTCTTATCAATGTTTCTTCTGAGATCAAGGATGTGAATTGGGAGTTTTGTCCTCCTTTGCTGTAGCAACAGCCTCTATTCTTCTGGAAAGGCTTTATGCTAGATGTTAGAACATTTCTGTGAGGATTTGATTGCTTTCAGCCACAAGAGCATTAGTGAGGTCAGGTACTGTTGTTGGATGATTAATTCTGGATCACAAATTCAGCTTCATCTCATCCTAAAGGAATTAGATGGAGCTCCATCACTCTAGAGAACACAGTTCAACTGCTCCACAGCCCAATACTGGCTTTATACCCCTCTAGCTGACACTTGTCATTGGGTATGGTGACCTTAGGCTCATGTGCAGCTGCTCCTTCTATCATCAGTGATTTTCTATGGGGATTAAACAAGCTGTGTGTGTTCAATTGAATGCCTGTGTCTGCAATAGGTGCACCTTAAAGAACCTCAATTTGCTAATTCTGTGTAGGGTATTGAAAGAAAGTGAAGGGAAATGATGTACAGAAATGTATCATAACTCAGAACATGTAATTCAGTTGAAAGGATGGAGCAGAAAAATAGTCTCAGGCCAGTTATAAGATTACATCAGATTTCTTCTTTATAATATGGAAATAACAGTACAGCAGAATAGTGCATTTCTACAGTAGGATATATTAGAGTCTCTAAAAAATCTCATTCTATGCACTGAAACCTATGAGAGGTCATTTATGCACTGTATCTTGCTTTAGAGGCTTGCATTTTAAAAGAATTATTGTTGGACAGTTCATATTTTACATTTTTTGTATTTAATATTTTCCCCAAAACTTATAACATATATATAACATTTACAACCTTTCTTTATCCTTTAGAATTAAATGGGTTGTTTTTGATAAAGACTAATGTAATTTAAATTAGCTCTATTCTGATTGGCTGCCCTGTATTGTGGCTCATTCAAAATGCAGTCCAGGCAGAAACACTCCTTATTACTTCAGTGTGAATGGGTGGGGCTAAACTGCTGTAGGCTGAAGCGGGGGTATGTAAATGAGTTGATTCTTTTGACATCATAGGAAAAAAGGGAAGAAATTGGGTTTTCCATGATGTTGACACTTCAACATGTGATCTTCAATGCCACTTTCTTCAGGTTGACAAGCGCTACCACACTCCAAGAGGTGCCTGGAACAGTGAGGAGCATATCACCCAGGGCACTGAGATTTTGATTGATTCCATCAAAGCAATTCAACGGAAATTCCCCAACTGGCCAAAGGAGCACCAGTTTAAAGGTATTACCTGCTGCTTTAAGAGTGTTTTTACCTTTATGTGAAAAATAAGCAGTAAGATGTATGACTGTACTCTGCCTTAATTACATCCGTTTCAGTAATGTTACCATAGGCAAACATGTGATTTATTATCTAAGGGCTATAGATACTCAACAGAGTCTTTGCGATTTTCTGCTTCAGGAGGAATATCAGCCTACAACGCTGGTGTTGGAAACGTTCAGACATATGAGGGGATGGACATCGGGACCACTGGCAATGATTACTCCAATGATGTGGTAGCCAGAGCCCAGTGGTTCAAACGCCATGGCTACTGAGGAACGTGTACATCCCACACAGCACTAATTAAACATGCCATGTAGTGCTGGATATCTAATCTGCAGTCAAATAAATCTCTACATTGCATCAGTCATTGGTGTATTTGTTTTATTAACATTTCATCCTGGTCATATCAAAACTTAATAACTGTATTTTTTATTTACACCACAGCTCTTCTTCACACTGTGTGAACAGTTCATGATGAATGGGTCAATAGAAGTGCTCCAAAATGACACCAACAAATTACCTAACACTTCAGAGATACTAGATTTAGTCTTATGTGTCAATCTCAGTGGCTATTACAGTAATTGTCTTACAGAATTAATATTATATAGCTGTCCAAAACAAAAAAGTATCTCCATTTTCTCTCTCTCTCTACATCATTTGAGCACTGCAGTGCTCTTTTTATGGACCACTAGAAATGCTCAGAAATTGCCTGGAATAAAATCTCTTTACATTAACTTACATTAAAAGTAAAGGACGTTCTGCCCTGTGCTGTAAAGTTATCAGTTTTTAAACACCTCAGTGTCACTGCTGGACTGAGAATAGTCCACCAACCAAAAATATCCAGCCAACAGCGTCCTGTGACCACTGATGAAGGACTAGAGGATGACCAACACAAACTGTGCAGCAGATGAGCTATCGTCTCTGACTTTACATCTACAAGGTGGACTGTGAAGGTAGGAGTGTCTAATAGGGTGGACAGTGAGTGGACACTCGTACCAGCGCAACACACACTAACACACCACCACCACCACGTCAGTGTTACTGCAGTGCTGAGAATGATCCACCACACAAATAGTACCTGCTCTGTGAGGGTCCATGGGGGTCCTGACCACTGAAGAACAGGGTAAAAGGGGGCTAACAAAGTATGCAGAGAAACAGATGGACTACAGTCGGTAATTGTAGAACTACAAATGATGGAGCTGATAAAATGGACAATGAACATCGAAACAAGGAATTTTGTTATGCCTGATCAGTGAATGTAGACTGTACTTTTGGTCATATTCTCGTATCCCCATAGCAGCCTGATCTGTGACTTCATACAGCAACTGGACAGATATTTCTCTTGACCCTGAAGACTGTACCTGTTTCTTATTACTTAGTTGTGCGTTTAATTCACTGAAATTCACTTGTGCCTGTAATACAGGACCATTTTGAAACATCTACTGTAAAAAATAAATTAATAAATAAAAAAATAAACTCACAGTCAAAGCTTGCAAGGCTAGTTTTAACGTAATTAGACGCAATATAGGGAGATTTGGACGACTCCAAGGGCCCTGAGAAGACAGGAGTCTGCAAAGATTGGACGTTTTTGTGCATGTGATTTTTAGGTTTACTGAAAGAGTATTAATCAAAACATTTAATCCATTTAATAATAGTTAAAGACTAGTTTTAGACACAGTGCCAACGAGCATCTTCCATTCTGCCCCACTTAGTAACCCCCCCTCTGTGTAAACGCTCAGTGGTTTAGTCCGCTCACGGTCTGTAAGAAGGACCAGACTTTCGTTTTTTACTCAAACAAAGATTCTGTCAAAAACATAATTCAGGCTTTCACGCAGGAAACGTTGGAAAAGCGAACAAAGAACAGCAAAATCAGTGAAAGACAGTGTCACCCGATATTTTAAGAGGTAAATGTGGATTTTAAAGATTGGAGCTGTTAGTAGAATAATGAGTTTATGAAGTAACTGCCAGCTTCTTGTTCGAATGTTCCCGTTCCACCTTAAATGGTGTAGCAGTTCCATTCTGCTGTATGTATGTTTGTATGTATGTAATGGAGCTGATGGGCTATTTAAGGTGGAACGGGAAAATTCGAACAAGAAGCTGGCGAATAAAAATCTTCAGCTTAATCTAACTGTACTTGTCGAATGGAAATGATGTGATGAAGCTTAACAACTTCCGTTCTGCTGTAAATGTGCAGCGTTTTTTTTTCATATATGTCAATAATACAACATACCCTGTATTTGTACTAAGATGTCAGGTTCGATCGACCACTGAGAAGTAGAAGTTGAAAGTGAAAGCGAATTTAAAAGTGGTTCTGTGTCTGTGATGCACTCTAGAACACTCTCTGGCTCCCCCTTCTGTCTTTCTGTACAAATTAAAACTATAAAACTATTATATTACAAATTAAAACTAAAAGAATATTTACATCAGGGGTGCACAACTCCGGTCCAGGAGGGCCGGTGTCCAGCACAGTTTGGGGGTTTCCCAGCTCAAACACACCTACTTAACCTGGCAAGTGTAATCAGGTGTGTTGGAGCAGGTAAATTACCAAACTGTGCTGGACACTGGCCCTCCAGGACCGGAGTTGTGCACCCCTGATCTACACTAATCCATAATTGAGTTGCATGGTCTATAGATAGGTTTGTATGTGGAGATTTTTAGTGGGCTTTGAATAATTTACACTGTATGTCCAAAAGTTTGTAGACGTCTGCTCATCCAACTTTTTTCTGAAATCAAGAGTATTAATAGGGAGTTTGTCTTCCTTGGCTCCAGTAACAGCCTCTGCTTTTCTGGAACATTGCTGTGAGGATTTGATTGCATTCAGCCACAAGAGCATTTGTGAGGTCAGGTACTGCTGTTTCATTACCTACCAAAATATTGGATGGAGCTCCGTCACTCCAGAATGACGTTCCACTGCTCCACAGCCCAATGCTGGGGGGCTTTATACCCCTCTAGCTGACTCTTTGCATCGAGCTTGGATACCTCCAGTCCATGAGTGGCTACTACAGAGCACCCCATTCTATTGGCAGTGCTTTTCTATGAAGACTGTACAAGCTCTGTGTGCACAGTTGCCTGTGTCAGCAGTGGGTGTGCCTTAACGTAGCTGAATTCACAGTGTTTCTGTTCTATGCTAGTCAAAAACAGTTCATTATAGAGTTTTGCTTCAAAGCCCAAGACGCAACGCTGTTGAGTTTCAGCCAGTTCAGTATAGTGCCCTGTACTTTGTATATATATTCACAGCTTTCTGCATGCGAGACATTACAGCTTGGAGAAAGTCAGAGTTGGAGGCTATAAGATGGTGTAAAATGGTGTTATTCTGAATATTTGGCATGTTTAGTATTGTGACAGGTTTTGCTAAACCAAATGACATGAGGCAAGAGGGTCCATCAATCAAATGAATGAAATTTTCAGGGGACCCAAAATTACTACCAGCGCACCTGGTTACAACTTGCCGAACATAAATTTGCAACTTTTGACTCAGCTTCTTTTTTAGTTATCATGTTTAAATATTATTATGGGTTGGGAAGCTCATCTGGTTCAAACAACATAGATTTGTATTGAATTAATTGTGTTTTGCATCAGTTAATCAGACTTTTAGGGCCTCTCATTTTGTTACAATGAAATAAAGTTTAAGTTCTCACTTAAAACTGAAATGTGTAGGTTGCTTGTCTAAACATATTAACCATGCTCAAATACTTAAAAAATTATTTGGCAAAAAACCAAATATCTTTTGTTGTATCTTTGGCTGTGCTTGTCATATCTTTGTCACTGTATATCCTCTAAAACCCTTCAGTAATCTGTCTCAAAATCTTTAATTGATATAACGGTACATTTAGGGATTTTGTTTTTAAAATCTTACAACGCCCAAGACAAACAGCAGTGGTGGAACACCTCATGAGTAACGTCACACCCTCTAACACACCTCCTTCTGTGCTCTAGTTCTCGGCATCACCACCTTACTGTTCACCTCCTCTGCCTCCCCATTCACACACTCAGACTAGAGGTGGGAATCACCAGAAGCCCATTGATACGATATCATCACAGTACTCGAGTCGTGATAAATATTTTTTTGACTGTAAATTATTGCTCCAAAAGAAACTATTTTATCTAATTAAGCTTATATTCAAGTCTTATTGAAGTAAAACAGAATTGTGAACCAGACAAAGCAACATTCTAAAAAGCCTTTGTCGTCACATAGTTAACAGATGTTTTTTGTCATAGTGGTTAACATTAGCCACGTTTACATGCAGCCTAATGATCCGACTGATAGCTCAATCGGAATAGAACACGTCCATGTAAACACCTCAATTGGAATAGATAGTCCGATTGAGGCCATTCGGAATACAGTTTCTGTCTGATTGAACGAGGTGGGTAATCCTGTAAATAATCCGTTATATAGAAGAATAATATCCGTGTAAACGCCTGTATCTGATTCCATTCCCAATTAGAAAGTTTAAGTACGTTCTGATCATGTTCGTCGCGTCATAGTGAAAGTTTATAACGTTCAACATGGCGGAGCAGAAACTGGTCTGGAGAGTAGACGAAGTTTATGCTCTGATCTTTAAAAGACGGCGGTGGGACGGGTGTCCAGCTTATATGTCTCGGAACACGACGTCTTCCTCTAATAAGTACATGTGAAGCACATTTTCCTGAGTCTGACATTATTTTAAAGTTATTAAAAACATAAGCACTGCTCACTGCTGCTCATCTCACTTTGACTGGACTCACGTGATGCTCGTTGTCATGGTAACGTCTATACTAAGTTGTGCTCTACGCATGCGCGTCATTTAGGATCTGCTTACTTGTAGTGAGCATGTAAATGGAGATTTCCATCAGATTGTTGAGGACAGTGTTCGTATAAACACCTCAGTCTTAATCTATAATCAGAATTTATTCAATCGGATTGACAAAAATCTTTGTATGTAAACACAGACAGTGGTAGGTGAATTTAATGCTAGGTCTGTTGTGGTATAGTCCACTATGAACAAGGAGTCAACAGTGTAAATTGAATGAAGAGTGTGAAATGCACCTCCTTTTAGTTGAGCAGTTTATAACGTGCAGGATAGCTTTTAATCACAGGCAAATGAATGTCTTGCTTGCCAGCTTGCTGTCATTCACATCAGCAGTATTTTGCATGCCTGCTCCCTTCCAATGATGTCAAGTCAAGTCAAGTCAAAGTTCATTTATATAGCGCTTTTTACAACAGGTGTTGTCACAAAGCAGCTTTACAGAAAAATCTGGGCCCAAGCCCCCATGAGCGTCGCCAGTGGCGACAGTGGCAAGGAAAAACTCCAAGAGCAAGAGGAAGAAACCTTAAGAGGAACCAAGACTCAAAAGCGGAACCCATCCTCCTCTGGTCGACACCAGATAGCAAACAGCATTAGTATAAAACATTAGAATACAAAACGGGAAAAAACAGGTGAAGCAATGGTTAATTAAATAGTTTGAGTTTATGCAGCAGCAGCATCAGGAGGGTCAGTTCATGCAGGTGATGTGCAGATCAGCCAACAGAGATGGAGCTCTGGTGACTCTAGCAGCTCTGGTGGCTCACATGTGGTGACTCAGGCAGATGCCGCTCAGGGGCTCAAATAAAGGGAGGGAGAGTGAGAGAGAGAGAGAGAAATTGATTAACAGGACAGGTCCGTTTATGGAGAAATATTAGTGAGTTAATAGTGCAACAACTGGTATTAGCAAAATGCTTGTGCAAACAGATAAGTGTGATGTGACAGAGCAGCCTTAGCTGTTGAGTTTCAAAGCCATGTGTTCTGGACAGTGCTACAGAGAACCCACCTTTCTCAGCTGTTGCCTACATTTGCAACACAGCTATACACTATGTATGTCCAAAAGTATCCAGACAGGCTCTTTTGATTTGTGAATTCAGCTGCTTTAAGGTGAACTCATTTCCGACACAGGCATTCAATTGCGCATAAACGGCTTGTATAATTTTGAAAAGCATTGTCAATGGAAAGGGATGCTCTGTAGCCCAATTCTAAGCACCAATTTAAGGGGCATAAAACCTCCCAGTGGTGGACTGTGCAGCAGTGGAAGTTTGAGTTTCATAATCCAGAACTGATCATCCAACATCATTACCTGACCTCACTAATGCTCTTGAGGCTGAATGCAATCAAATCCTCACAGCAACGTTCCAACACTACAGTAAAGCCTTCTCAGAATAGTAGCAGCTATTACTGCAGCAAAGAGGAAACAAACTCCCTATTAGTACACTTGATTGTGGAAGAAATGTTGATCAGGTGTCTACAAACTTTGGGACATATAGATATGCATTATAGTGAATCAGTCTTTGCAAAGCCACTAGCTTTGTTGAGTTCTAAACCATGTGTTCTGGTATTTTCTGTTGGGGTTTTCAGTTCCTGATCACTGCCTGTCTCACTACTGAGTTTGAATGCCCCTCTTGCTTTGCTTACCTTGACTTTGTTTGGTCTGTGTGATGTTCATCAAAGGCTTCACTAAAAGGAACACGTGTAAATGCATCCAGCCCTATTGAATCATTTGTGTCAGCCAGTGTGTTCTAGTTCTTTCATTTTTTTATAGCGATGAACCATGACTGTTAGTCACTATTCGTGCCATAAATGTCAAAATATGTGAAAATGAGAAAAACACACCACTGTGATATTGCTAATTGGTAGCCCCTCTATGGGATTCAAGTAGTATGTTAGCACTGAGCTTTACATTCTTAGCCATTCAGATTAAACTTGAACATTCCAAGCTTCGAAAAGATATTGAGTGTTTTATATGAAGCTTGTAACAGACATTAACATATATTTTACCTTGTAGCAGTTTTACAGTGACTCTTTCAGTAACGAGTCCAGCATAGAGCTGTAGCTGCTGTTTTCCATGTTTAACATCTGACCGATATGCATTGGTCAGGCTACTACTTTGCAGTCTTGAACTTTCAGAGGGCCTATAGTGACTTTTTTTTCTCATAAAATTGTTTTCTTATCCATTGGAAATCAAAACGTAATTGGTTGCTTCCACTGTCGGTTCTTAATTATATTAGTGGTTAATCTGACATGTTCGGTCTTCATTTTAGCTCCTAAAGTCCGGAGCAATGGGAACGTACATTTGGTTGTATCTATGTAGAAAGCACAATAGAATGATAATTTTCTGGTGATTGGATTATTTTCTGTTGGTTGTTTCAGAATAAAACCCTTTTGTTTCTGACTAAAACTTAAGAGTAAGACTACAATACCTGCAGAGTTTAAATACAACAAGCGTGATGAATATATTAAGTAATTATGAACTAAAAATTACACATGTATTTTTGTTTACTTCACCCAAATCATTATGTCTTGAGGCCCTAGATGGCCCTGAGCATTCCCCACTGATTTGTTCATTGCTGTTGTATGTATCTCAGTTGCTTCATAGTCATTGGTACACAGAGTCATGTTAATAATGTAATTCGATATTGCTACATTACAGGTGGAGTTCTCTATAAAATGTCCACACCTCCGTTATTTAGAGGAAGTGCTTGGGGGATATAACAGGCAAACTCCTGTGATCACTCAGATTCATTTTCTCTGCTCACAAGGATCCAAAGTGCTGTCATGGGTGAGTTTGCCTTTTGTAAGATGTCTAGTACAAGTAAATGAAGGCAATAATAACGAGCATGAGGTTTTATTTATTGTGTATTTTTTCCTCACACTGACCTGTTTTCAGGACCTTAACTTATTAAATGCTACCATTTTTAAAGGAAATAATTATTATTATTTATCCCTTAGTTGTGATGTGAAACCTTTTGGACCAAAACCAATGTGTGCTTTCAGCAATAGCTTGTAAAGGCAAAGTGTCAAATCATAATTTAAGCAAAACTAAACTCTCCATAGCTTAATGAACATGAAGCAGAAAATTAGAAAATAGACCCAGAGCACTAGTAATTTTATTTTGTTCAAACCCTTCACAGATATTTATTATATTTTAACTGATATTTCTTATGCTCTTGCTCAGAAATGAGTGCTGTGTCGGCACTGCACTGTCCTGTCTGTTTACTGTGTCTAATGTCTGTGTTATTTATAGTATTTATTGTATTGTTTCTAGTTTAATTTGCACTTTTGCAATTTGTACTGTCTCTTTTGTTCCATGTTGCACCATGTTGTTCCTTGGAGGAACGTAATTTCACTCCACTGTGTACTTATACATAGATGGAGTGACATTAAAGCCTCTTGACTTGACATGACTTCAAGTTGAAGATACGTTTACCATCTAGAACCACTCAACAGAATAAATGTTCGATAAAATGTGCTATTCCGCTTGCTAATTTTGCTTGTTATATTTGTTTTCTAGCTTCCACTTATGGAGATGTCACAAAGATTCAAACAACCGGAGCATCTGAGAAAACGGCTCGCCAAGACAAACTCACAGTGAAGGGTAGGTGCCTAAAATTCATGTTTTCTACCCTACAGTCTTAAACATAAAGGTGCCGCAAAGGGTTCTTTGAACCAAGACCATAGAACAGCATTGTTTAGTTCCCTGAAGAAGCTTTCAGTGGGCGGCTCTTAAAGAATATTTCTTTGTGATTGAGATGAGTGAATATGAAGAACCTAAAGATTAAAGAACCTCCAAATGATGTAAAGATGCTACACCAGTTTTCTTAGAGTCATAAATCAAAGCCAAGAACCATTTGAGAACCTTGATTTTAAGAATGTACACTCTCAGAAAAATGGTATGAAACTGTCGCTGTCCTCTTGTCACTGGGGTGGAACCCTCAAGGGTACATCTCAGCACCTTTAGTCAGGGAACATAACTGTACCATAATTCACTGCAATGATATTTTCTAAGTTGTACTGACTCCACACACCCCGTCTCGTCTCCAGGCTTTTATTTTACTGTTCTGTTTTAAAATATTCGGTTATGAAAAGGTACAAATACGTACTTTTCACCTAGAAAAGCTTCTTTAAGGTACATAATTGGACCTTAAAACCACTGTTGTACCTTTGAGGGCACATTTACATTGTTTGTACCTTGATGAACGAAAAATGTACCTGCACAGAACCTTTATTTACAACAGTGTAGATGTAGTATTAATCATGTTTTTCTTCTTCTTTACTTGCTGATAGTTTGGAGCTGAAGCTCAGGTAGGGCGTGGTGCTGACTTGTAAGGGCCAATCAGAGTAGAGAGGAATGCAGTAATGTTATTTATACCACAGTTAGCTATGATGTCACAGTCTGATCAGTTGAGAGGTGCTCTACAGTTACTGTAAAAACAAGGTGCTGTTATCACAAATTACAGCATGTTTTTTTGACAATAACTGTATTATTCCACTGAGCAACGGTTGCTAAGTAACAGTCTGCTAGTTTTCTACTTTAGTACATACAAAACAGACAATGGATACATCAGATCAGTGATCACCGTCCCTGGGCCTGGAGATCTACCTTCCCGTAGAGTGTAGTTCCAACAACAGTCTGCCACACCCGCTCCAGCCAATTAACTTCATCAGTTAAGTTTATGATAGTCTGGATCCTTGCAGGCTGAAACTAAACTGTGCAAGAAAGTAGAAAGTTTTGTGGTCACTGGATTCGATCAGTGGTTCCTTCTGAGGGTCCCTGAGGGCCGGTTTCTGGGATCCCTGAGGGCCGGTTTGAGAACCACTGCGTTAAAAAAATTCTGCAAGATAATATTTGACCTGCAGCAAGTTTGGTCAGAGTGGTGGAGTGTGACAGCAGGACTACATCAAATTCTGAAGCTGTCGTTGCCCCTGAGCAAACTTTTCCGTGAGAAGCTATGCTTGCGGAACAACTAAATTAAGGGTGGAGCCACAGTTTGGTGGTTTTCCAACAGTGGTGGTTTTCCCACTCAAACACACCTGATTTATCTCATTAGCTAATTGCCAGATTTAGTAAGTGTGTTAAAAACAGGAAAATCACCAACAGTGACCACAGTTGCCACCCCTGAACTGAATAAACTGGAATTAGACAGAAACTAACAGAATATAATTTGGCAAAGATGGGCTCTGAAGTGCTTTACAGACTGACTGGAACAAAACAACATTCAGGTTAATCTTGCAAATGCTGAAAAAGCTTAGCTGAACCTGATACTGCTACAGTGTTGTGGCTCTATTTGTAAAACAAAAGGCAAATACTTTTTGGCAGCAGGAATTATTTAATGCAATGTTTGGGGCCTCTTTGCTTTACTTTTTAATAATTGTGTAGAACTGTTGTGTAAAAATAATAGAACACTCGAGATTGTGATGTTAGTTGCAATACCACACTCCCTCTCATGTTGCTTAATGACCTTAATAACTTGCATTTGCATCACCCATAACATTACACCTTAACATTTTACTTTAGCACAGTGTTTACATTCTTTCTCAATGTAAAGTTTGCAGAAGCATATTAATTAATATTGGAAAAGTAAAACTATTTCAGTTTGTTCCCTGCAGAGGATGTGTTAACTTGTTTTCACAAAATTAAGTAAAACAAGTTATGTAATTTTACCAGAAGTGTTCAAACTTTTGCATATGACTGTATGAGTATGCAATAACGCAAAAATTGAACTCATACACTTATGGATCATTCTACTGTTGCAGTGGTAAGTGGTGTCCCACAACTTTGAAACCATGAAAACCATGAGCTCAAAATAAGAATAAACAACATAAAGTTATCCAACAAAAACTATGATAATACTTCTTTTTAAATGTTATTTTAGTGTTTTGGCCATGACAAAAAGCATATCACAACAGCATTGACTTCACAGATGCATCACTGAATGTGAAGCAACTAATTTGATGCTTGTTTTTGAGTTCTTGTAAAAATGCATTAAAATGATTCCTATGTTAAAATTATTTTAAATGTATAAATAAAATAACAGTTGCAATAGATGATAAATGTTGTCCCAAGATTCATCAGTGGTGTTACAGAAAGATAAAATATAATTTAATAAACACATTATTCCATTATTTCTTGTATGAATATCTTGAGAAAAGAGAGATGGACACTGAAAAGTCCTTGTTTTTTTCATATTTCTGAAAAATTTGGCTAAAATGCTGACAAATCATCAGCTTTACTGATGGTCAGTATAACAGGCTATGTTTTATGCTTGAATTACAAATCAGCATTACACAGCTTTTTGCCACTGCAGTGGTAGAATGACCCTTATACTGACATTTACAAGTGCATTAAATAACATTTGGAAACCTTTGTTTTCTTAAAGTGCAGTTTTGAAAGTTGAAGCTGGTTTATACAGTAATAATGTGCACTCATTTAAGGTGTGGAAGCCTCATACAAGCTGGCTGAGAATGATCTGAAGAGAATGGACCAGTACAAGAGCATCATCACCAAAGTTGGGAGAGCTAAGCAGATCGATCCAGCTGTGATTGCAGGAATCATATCCAGAGAGTCGAGGGCTGGAGCTGCTCTCGTGAACGGGTGGGGTGACCACGGCAAAGGCTTTGGACTCATGCAGGTAGGTTCGAAAACTGGTTCCCAACCCTGGTCCTGGACTTACCTTCCTTTTTTTCTGAGTTTTCCCTGCACTGACACACCTGATTAGCTAAATAACAAGCACTTAATGGGTTGAAGAGGGTGTGTTAAAGCAGAGAAATTTACAAATTTACAGGCCATGTTTGGGAACCAGGATCAGCCTTGGGAGAAACTTGTCCAAAGTAATCCATTTAAGACCTTAATTAAAAACAGAAGTTGCACAACAGCATTTCAAGGCAACATTAGGGTGTGGAAAAGGCCTTTGATAACTAGTTGAGAAAGAGGAACACGCCTCACGTTGCGTTTGAAGGCACAACTGGTGCAACTGTAGAAGTTTTTGAGATATGTTATTCTCTCTGTTGTGTAACTGTGCCAGTTCCAACCTAATTTTAAACTTTTTCATCAACCATTTTGCCAGTTCCCCTGTGTGGAAATAGACTTGGTCACTGTTCATGGTCAATAAGAAAGCAAAGATATTGTCCTTTTAAATCTGAATGTATTTTGTGACCTATTTAATATCAAGCAATGCCACTTTCTTCAGGTTGACAAGGGCAGCCACACTCCAAAAGGCGCCTGGAATAGTGAGGAGCATCTTTCTCAGGGAACCAACATTTTGATTGAATTCGTCAAAGCAATTCAGCAAAAATTCCCTGCTTGGCCCAAGGAACACCAACTGAAAGGTACTTTCACTTTAAGGCATTTTTATTATGAAAATGACCATATGCCACTGTTTTGCAGTAGGAGTGTACTTTCAACTTTTTACTACATTTTTTTCTTGGTAACACTTTACTGTAGGGCAGTGTTCATAAGGCTACATGACCCTTACATAAGCCCTTCATGACAACTACCATTGACCTACATAAACATTTAGGTACACTCATTCCAAGGTATCATTTGTCATATAGGTTGCATTTGCCATCTTTGATGTCAAGTTGACATAATATCTATGTCAGGTGACTTTGCCTTTTTTTCTGAAATAAGTGTCATGACATAGACTTTATAGTTCGGTGTATGTCAGTGTGGTAATATGACATAGCTCGCCACGTCAGGCTGGTTGTGAGCAGTTTCTGTGGCCTTCAGGTAAAGCAAGTGTCATTATACCATTTAAAAGATTTAAACTGCCACATCATCAGCATTAATTGTGTCACTGTAATGTAACCTACAAAGTCAGCTGTAATAATGTGCTATGTCATTTCACTCAAAAGAGTGTCATGACAACCGAATGTCCAAAAAAATCTGTGTCACCTGCCCTAGGTATTGTGTCAACTTGACATCAGAGATGACTAAAGCAGCCTTTATGACAGATTAAGCCTGTTAGAATAAACTTTCATAAATGTTTGTGTGGGTTTATATAGGGGTCATGTAGCCTTATGAATACTGCCCTGCAGCAGTGTTGGCTTTTTCTCCATGTCGCTGTACTTTGCTGTTTTTGTTTATCAGGAGGAATAGCAGCCTACAACTTCGGCCCAGGGAATGTTCGCACATATGAGCGGATGGACATCGGGACCACAGGGGATGATTACAGCAACGATGTGGTAGCCAGGGCCCAGTGGTACAAACGCAATGGCTACTGAGAAAATCTATATATGCATATATTGCTCATATCTCATGGTCAGTTAGACCTGTGTCTAACTATAGCTATGTTCTAATGTTCTCCATGCACATTAAATCTTCTGCATGACCTTCCATGGTCAGTAGTAACCAAGAGATTGTGTTCCCGGCTTTTTATTTTTTTTTGACAAATCTTTACAAATCAGTCGTTTGACCAACAGCATTATAGGAAGAAACACAGGCAGTTGTACAAAGTCCCATTTGTAGTTTACCAAGCAAGTCATTGTGGATACTGAGATATAAAACTTATGAGAACCAAGTTATCGTTTGTTAAATAATACTGTATATCGCTGTTGTTGGAGGAAAACCTCGTATCTCCAAAAAGGGTTTTAACAGGAGAAGGAAAAAACATATTTTACTCTTAATGTAAGTCAATGGAACCAGACTTTTTTCCAAGTAATTATGGGCCATTTCTTTTGGTCCATTCATCATGAATTTCACACACAATATAAAGGGCAACAGACATTTTCAAATTATGTCAAAAACTGAAAAACGACAAAAATGGAGATATAAGGTTTTTGGCACCATTTTTATTTGAATTGTTGAGGCTTTTCCACATTTTACCACTTCATTACCTGCTAATAAGATAAAATCCAGCAAATGCACCAACATCAGTTGGTTAATATCACACTGAATCTTACATTTGATGCATATTTAATCTAAAGGATTCCGAACAAACTCCATTAAAAGACTAAGTAATAGAGAATGTTATTTAGATTGCAGTCAGGCAATCAATCCTTGCAGCATTTATAGTTCAAGGGAACTGAAGATAGTTATAGATCTCACTTTGCCATTTTGAATTCCTCTCTGTTACGGTATAAGGAAGTTCTTCAGGGATGAAGCAAAGAAACCAGCTGTGTAATAATCAACTGCCCTTCTGCCAAAGTGCCTTGTGTAGTGAAAGAGTGAAAGAGAAATCTAGAAGGATCATAAGGGATAAATGTAACAGCAGTCTAATAAAAACATTCATAGTAATATGCTGTAATGTGTTTGCATGGTCTCACGAGAAAGAAATGCAAGTTATTGAAAATCCACACAAGATGAAAACACTCAGGCAGAGAACAGTGTTGACCAGTAGCCCTAGCTACAAAATTCAGACAGCTTCTTGGACAGTCCTGCATTATCGACTATGCTCTGTTATCGCTCACCACCACGCCCTACATCAGCTTTAAAACCAGACTGAGTTGCTCCAGCTCCCCTACAATGTGTACTGATTCCAGATCTATCAGTGACTGTAGAAAATAACCACTGCAGTGCAAACATTAAAGTAGGTTAGTAAAGGTTTGTACATTTTGTTTGATTTTTAAGTAAAAAAAATTATACATTAATTTTAGCAAAAAGCATTTTAATCTGAGATGTTAAAAACACACAGAACACTTTTATATTCTGGCACATTTTTATTGAGGTCACCTGAATTTTTTAAAAATTTTATAGTTTTATATATATATATATATATATATATATATATATATATATATATATATATAAGATTTGCAGGATGGTAATGCAATATTGTATTCTGTAGTTTGCAGAGGTTGTTTTTACTTCTTCTCATTTCAAACATCAACTAAGTATATACTTTGGCCGGGGGTGCCCAAACTTATGCATACAATTGTAGCGACAGGCAGGAAATACAAGAAACTGCGATGGTCTAAGGATCTGGTTTGGCTCGAGTATTTATCTGCTAATATGATGGTACAGATTTTTTGTTCTGCTGTGACCAGTACGTTGCCCAGCTCAGCATTAGTGCACTGACCTTTTTGTGCCAAATTACAAGTTTGAACCCCTCAGTGAGGTTCAGTGCTCAGAAGGGGAAATTACACTGGCCAATAGGCCTGAATTTCAGAATTAAACTTGCCAACTAGAGTGCAGCAATCAGCTAGCCAATCAGCGGGCAGAATTCAAGTAGCCATTCAGTCAGACTGCAGGATTATCTAGCCAAATCGGAGTGCAAGGTTCAATTAGCCAATCAGAGAGCTGTATTTGGCTAGCCAATTAAATAGCTAAATTCAAGTAGCCAGTTAGTGAAGGATTCAGGTAGATAATCAAATGGCAGGATACAGCTAGCCAATCAGAGTGCAGGGTTCAAGAAGCCAATTAGATAACTGGATTTGGCTAGCCAATCAAATGGCAGGATTCAAGTAGCTAATCAGAGAGCTGAATGACAGTGGCCTATTAATAGTAAGTCATTTGAACTCATAACTACATTCACCTACAGTTGTAAGCCACTCTGAATAATAACAAATGTTAAATACCTAAACATATTTAAGAGCCTTCATGCCAGTATTTGGAAAGAGCTACGAACAGAAACATCTTTTACAGTGGATATTTTTCAGGGGGGCTACTGTTTGATTGGAGAGCTGGATTCAGCTAGCCAATCAGATTGCAGGATTCAGGTAGCCAATCAGCGCAGCTTCAACTAAAAAGGTTTCTTAGAGATTTTTAATGTGACCACTAGAGGGCGCTAAACCGTGATTTATATATATACACACATAAACCTTTCAGTTTGTACATGATTACAAAACATTGCTTAAAGGGCAAGTCCACCTAATTTTCAAAGTTTCTGCATCATGTAATCGTTGCCGTATAATTAGTCCTTCAGAGTGGTTTGATGTGAAATGGTTCATTATAGAGAAACTTACTGACTCTGATTTTCTTTACAGTAGTTGTGATAGGAACCAGGGGTTCATTTACAATCCAAAACCACCGGTTAACCCACACGTGTCTTCTGAGGTTTCATGTGTAATACTGATCATGGTAAAATAGTGGTAAAAGTTTGCCTGACAGCACCCTGCATGAACCTCTCCGCAAAATGTTTTAGGACAAAACCTTCTCAAAACTACTGAAAAGCAATGCCCCAGGCACCAGGGAACATATTCATAACCATTCCATGTCATCGTTTTCTGTAGCTTCTGGTTCTCATGACCTCTGCTGTAAACAGTTGTGACTGGACACGTTTCCCCAGAATGGAGCATTTCATATAAACCCGCTGTGAACTGCTTAGCTCACACCATAACCATTCATTATGGAGAAATCTCTGTGGAACGGGATTCCCCTTTAATGTGAGTGAAGGTAAACTGAAACAGGCTTTCACCGGCAGGGGCGCCGTTCAGTCTCGCCCCTCAGACTGGGCAGCTCAGTGGAAGTGAATGTAGCGCTGGTTTAATGAGGGAAAAATCACTGATGTTCCACACTTTGATGGATAACCACGAAACTCTGCCGGTTCAGTGATTTTGTAAGTATGTTTGGTGTTTTTCACGTATTTAGTCTTCCTTTCGTTTCACCGCGTCTCACTTGTTTCCCAGGCAGGGTTATTAGCTGAGTCCAGGACAAAGCAGATGGGAGTTTAGAGACTGGCGTTTCCCTCATTTCCCGTTAAGTGCTGTTGGAATAACTTCATGTCGTTTTATGAGCAGATTTATCTTTTTTTTGTTGTTGTAGTTTTTGGTTTTCGGCTTCTTCTCTCGCCGTTACTGCGCTCCGCTCAGCAGCTGTGGACAAACAGAAACAGGAGACTCTGTCAAAACTGTCAGTTTCAGCTCATATAAGGTCAGGAAGAAGCTACTTTCTTCACTGGAACGGTTTCCTTTAAATACAGTCGGACTGTCCACTTAAAGAGCGGCCAGTTCTGTCTGATCAAGTCCAACAGCGTCAACAAACCAGCTGGACATAAACAGCTTTATTAGCTTTAGGAAGTTTAAGGCTATATTTAACAGCTGCTGCCTCCACTTCTTTACTGTGGGCTGCACTCTTAAAAAGATGGTTCTTTAAGGGTTCTTTAGTAAAGGCATCATGCTTAAATGGTTCTTTGTGAAATGGTTCTTCAGATTGATGGAGAATGTGATGTATATGGTTTCTATGTAGCACCAAAAGGGTTCTTTTATTGTTATAAGCTTGACATCTTAACTACACTCTTTAAAAAGATGGTTCTTTAAGGGTTCTTTAGTAAAGGCCTTGGTTCTGTTAGAACCATTTCATGCTTAACTGGTTCTTGGTGAAATGGTTCTTCAGACTGATAAAGAATGTGTTGTGCACGATTCTATATAGAACCTTTTTGCAAATGGTTCTCTATAGCACCGAAAAGGGTTCTTTTATTGTTATAAGCTTGACATTGTTACAATACACCCTTTAAAAAGATGGTTCTTTAAGGGTTCCTTAGTAAAGGCATTGGATCTGTTTAGAACTGTGAGTGCCATATAGAACCATTTCATGCTTAACTGGTTCTTGGTGAAATGGTTCTTCAGACTGATGGAGAATGTGTTGTATATGGTTCTATATAGAACCTTTTTGCAAATGGCTCTTATAGCACCAAAAAGGGTTCTTTTATTGTTACAAGCTTGACATTGTTACAATACACTCTTTAAAAAGATGGTTCTTCAAAGGTTCTTTAGTAAAGGCATTAGTTCTATTTAAAACCATGAGTTGCATATAGAACCATTTCATGCTTAAATGGTTCTTGGTGAAATGGTTCTCCAGATTGATGGAGAATGTGATGTATATGGCTCTAAGTAGAACCTTTTTGAAACTGGTTCTCTATAGCAACAAAAAGAGTTCTTTGATTGTCAAAGGCTTGACATCGTAACGATACACTCTTTAAAAAGATGGTTCTTTAAAGGTCCTTTAGTAAAGGCATTAGTTCTGTTTAGAACCACAAGTTCCATATAGAAACATTTCATGTTTAAATGGTTCTTCAGATTGAAGGAAAATGTGCTGTATATGGTTCTAAATATAACCTTTTGGTTCTCTATAGCACCAAGAAGGGTTCTTTTGTTGTTACAAGCTTGACATCTTACCAGTACACTTTAAAAAGATGGTTCTTCATTTCATGCTTAAATGGTTCTTTGCATGGTGAAATGGTTCTTCCGATTAATGGAGAATGTGTTGTGTATGGTTCTATATACAACCTATAGTTCTATATAGCACCAAAAGGGTTCTTCCATTGTTGCAAACTTGACATCATAAGAATACAGTCTTAAAGAAGATGGTTCTTCAAAGGTTCTTTAGTAAAGACACTGATTCTATTTAGAGCCATGAGTTCTCAAAACATTTTGTGCTTAAATGGTTCTTTGCATGGTGAAATGGTTCTTCAGATTG